CCCGTATGCAGGTCTACCAGGGTTTACTAATTTTCCCCACCGCCTCATTATCGGAGCATCATAAAATTGATTAATAACTTAGATACTCAGATAAGTGAATAATTAGTGAATCAGAAGAAGTAGAAGTGGTGGGGAAAATTAGTAAACCCCAATTGATTAATAATCATATGGGCAGGCCTACCGAATAATTGATTGATGGCGTAGCCACAATGAAATTTAATTGCCATTAATTGCAATTATTTCGTCATTAATTGGGTCTCAATTGATAATTTAGTTGATTGAATCATTATAGTACGTATAACTTCTTGATGCATAAAGTTTGAATTTGGTATAATCATTGGTATAATGAAAAATGTATAACTTCTTGATGCATAAAGTTTGAATTTGGTATAATCATTTATAATGAAAACAGATCAAATTTATGCCAAATTTCATGATATAAAATGGAGCGAAGTTTCTCCTGGGGCCAAAATATATATTTTTTCAGTTTACTATTATCATAAATTGGCTGTTAAAGTCTCTTCGTGTTAAATATTTATTAAACATAAAAAAAAAAAAAATTAAAAATTCAAGATGTCATCTCAACAACCTTTGGTAGTCGTTAGTGGAGCTACTGGTAATGCATTTTGATAAAATAATAATTCATAAAAATTATAAACATTAATTAATGTTACATTGACTTCTTTTACATATTCTAGGCGTTCAAGGTATTATTTACTCGTATTCGCCTAAAACGTAATATCTTAATAATAAACTCACGAATAACATTCGTTTTTTTGAATCGTATATACACAGGAGGATCTGTAGTCAATGCTCTCCTTGCAACAGGAAAACATAGAGTCCGTGCTCTTACACGTAGGCCTGAATCTGATCAAGCCAAAGCTCTTGCTGCAAAGGGTGCCGAAGTTTTCAAAGCCGACCTTTCCAATAGAGAAGATGTTAAGAATGCGCTTAATGGCGCTGATATCGCATTTATTGTCACTAATTTCTTCGATCCGGTAACTAAGAAATCTTAATTCATTAATTATATAATAATTACTATCTGATAACCACCATGATTATTATATTAGTCCATTTTCCCAAATAATATTGCTAAAGAAGAAAGGCAAGGTAAAATGATTGCCGACGTCGCTAAAGAGGTTGGATTGAATTGGCTTTTTTATAGGTAAGATATGTTATTAAATAAACATTTTCTACTCCACTGGATTAATCATCCTAATTATCTATTTTAAGTTCTCTTCCTGATACCCCGGGTCACAAAGTTGTACATTTTTATGGTAAGAAATATTTATTATATAGTATTTATATAATATTAATATATTTTTAAGTACCATATCATATATATAGGTAAAAATCGGGTTGAAAAATACATTAACACTTTGGGTATTCCGAACGTCACAATCGTCTACGTTTGTTTCTATGCCTCGAATATTGGTCAATTTTATCCCGTTGTGACAAAAGATGATGGAACATCTGAATTTATTATTCCAATTGTCAAAGAAGACACCACTATTGAGATTATTGATGCTGAAACCGACACTGGCGTAAGTGATTATATTACCATATACATTAACAGGCTTTACAGAAATAATAATTTATATAAATGTTCTCAGGCCATTGTGGCCAAAGTTATTGAAGAAGGACCAGAAAAGTGGAATGGAAAGAAAATCCCTTTTGCTTCAGAACGCATTTCTTTTGGAAAAATTGCCGAAATATTGACTAAGGGTAAGTTTCTAATAATTTTTTTTATCTATTTAATTCTCAAATACTAATTTTTTTTTTTTTTTTTTGCGAAACTATCAGTTACTGGAAGGCAATTTAAACTTCGCAGTCCCAATCGCGAAGAAGCAGAAAAAGAATTTCCCGCTTTGGCTAGTGAAGAATTGTTTGATATGGTATGTCATTCGAACTATATATATATTTTTTTAAATAAAAGTAATAAAAATAAAATATTTATCAATTTATTATTTTTTAATAGTATCGTTGGTTTAATAAATGCGGAGTTTTAGGCAAAGAATTTAGCGACATTTCCATCACTAAAGATTTACATCCAAATATTAATTCTTTTGAGCAATATGCTTACAAGAATTGGAGTAATAAATAATTTTTACAGTTTATTTTGATAAATATCGATAGAATTAATTTCTCAAGCCCATAACCCCTATTAATGTTAAAATAAGACATATTTCAAATGTACAAATACTATTTATCAAGGGATGCTTTATTTAGGATGAGTGAATAAATTTGATGTTTTATAAATTTGAATAATTATTATGGTATAGACCAATTTCGTAAACTATTTTTCCGAATGTTATTTCGTTGATAAAATTGGAACGATTTAAGTTTGGTCTGATATATAGTTAGCACTGGCTAAGGGTGAACTTTACAAAACCCCAGCTACGAATCCAATTCTTGTTCGTTATCTTTTTAGTGATGATTTTTTAGTATAATATTTCTTTGTCCGGCAAACTCTTATTATCATGAATTGCCATCAGTCTTGTTATCTTTTTCACGTGTTACGATGTAATCATGTTTATTCAAATTAAACTTAGTCTATGACTCAGGGACACGAAAATTATGTGATTTATTATGTGCACTCGTTTTAAATTTTTAGTATCGCAATATTTTAAAATCTTAATGAATTATGATATTCTAGTATATTGTATGCTAAAACACAATAAATAAATTAAATAAATTCGTCTTCAAAATTAAAAAAAAATAACGACTAAGATAATATCGTTAACTATAAATAATTTGAAATGTTTAGTTCGCTGAATACTATATTTAACAAATTTTTATTAAAAAGTGTTTTTTTAGCAATAAATAATTATAAACAGATAAGTTTTTGTTTAGTTGTACGCAGTATTTAAAAAATCGCAAGATTTTTTACTAGATCAAATTGCTTAGAAAACATCATTAAATCGCACTTTTAATTTTTAATCATCAGTAAATCGAATATTTCGTCCCTGCTCTCTGTCGAATACGATAATTTAGCTCAACCGGACAAATGATTGGTAACATGCCGCTTCGCGGCACATGTTAATTTGCTCCGGTTTGCCAAATTACTGTCATTCGAAAAATTTTGCCCAATATTGTATACATATAGTTATTTAATGAATTCAAAATCGTTTATCAAAATTCTTTGATTTTAATCAAGTAGGACTTTATCAAATTATTAACTAGGTTTAATTACGTATTAGTCATTTGAACATATAAGGTGAGGTCGGGTATTTTGACGCACCTAAGAGTGCTAATAGTAAAAGTTTTCAGAAAAAAAATTTTACAGTATTACCAAATTTTATTAAATAAACTAATATTCGACCTAATATCCATAGTCAAACTAATAAATGCCTTAAATTTAAAACAAAATTTGATAATGAAAACTGTTATGTTTTTTTATCTAAATTTAGCAAAATTCTATTTACACTAGCTCTTTTTGTACTTTAGATTTTCTGACCTCTCCCCCTGAAATTGCTCAGATAGGAAAAAAGAGAAAATAACGTAAGAACTACAAAATAATGTCTAACCTTTCCTCAAGCCATGATCAGAATTGATTAATTTTTTATCATTCGATTCGTCTCAGTAAAACGAATCGAATGGTACAAAATTGTTTGATTCTGATCAGTGTATCGCAAGATATTATAAAAAACTTAAGTGCGTCAAAATACACCCCTGCGTCAGAATACCCGACCTCACCTTATAATTTACTAATTATAAAAATGATTAGTATTTTTTTAACCCTAGTTATATAAACTTCAATATATAAATCCTAAACTGTTCAAATTATGTATAAACAGGTTATGATAAAACCAAAAGTGTGAAATTTGTCTAAAATTATTGTTTTATTATATAGAACAGAGTGAGGAGAAAGAAATAGTGTACAGTTCCAAAATCTAATAACTTTGATCGGCGTGGCCATGGTATTTATTTATTTAATAATAAATATAAATTCACAAACTTACAAAATATTAATGTTCACCACTTCCCTATAATAACTCTCAGCACGGGTGCACGGAATTTTAAATACGAGACAACACTAAGTTGCATGTAAATATATACAGGACAGTGTACGTCTAATACACAAAAAAGACACGGATTCCGTACAATATTACACGTATTGACATGCATTTTTACATGTTTTCATGTATTTTTTACGTGTTGTCACGTATGCTTTTACGTGCATTAACGTATTTTACATGCTTTCCGTGTTTTTTTCGATAATTAATTTCCATGCAGAATGATTTGAAAAATAACAATAAAATATTATGCTAATAATTTCTCTTACCCATAAAAAATCATCACTAAACACCCTAATCAGATAAAGAACAAGAACTATTAACGATAAATCAATTTTGAGTTCAATCTGAGTTTCTAATTGGCTGTTAAATTATTTTCATTAGTCTCACCAACGTTCACTAGCATTTACAAAATTGTCATCTGTTTACTCTGTAATTCTGATACGTACATAGCTAAGGTTTTGTAAAGGTCATTAACACTCAACCTCTAGTCAACAATAATTATATATCAGGTCAACCTTAAATCGATCCAACTTTATCAAAGAAATGACTATCGGTAATCATGACCCAAATTTACGAGACACTAAATTTATTTCGCGAAGTTACCTATTGTTTTATTGATTAGAAATTTCAATATGCAGATTTTGATAACTAGTATAAGTACATTTAATGTTATTAATCCTCTATGTCCTATTTTAAAATCAATGGAGTTGTGTGCTTCGAGAAACTAAAGTTAGCATTATTTATTTATTACCCCATTTTTTGTGAGCATATTGTTCAAAGGTAGTAATATTTGGGTGCAAAACTTTAGCAATAGAAATATCGCTAATTTCCTTTTCAGAACGAAAGACTCCGTAGTCATTATACCAACGAAACTATTGAAAACAATAAATTGATAAATACATTTTATTATTTTTTTAAAATTTCGAATGACTTACCATATCGGATATTTTTGGATTATCCAAGTAAGGAACTTCTTTTTTCATTTCTTCGCGATTGGGACTGCGAAGTTTAAACTGTCTTCCGGTAACTGATATAGTAGTTTATAAAAAAAAAATTAAATATTGGAAAATAAACAGATAAAAAACATTAATTAGAAACCTACCTACCTTTAGTCAATATTTCGGCAATTTTTCCAAAAGAAATGCTTTCTGAAGCAATAGGAACTCTCCTTCCATTCCATTTTTCTGGTCCTTCTTCAATGACTTTAACTACAATGGGCTGAGAACATTCATATAGATTATTGTTTCTGTAAAGCTTGTTAATATAAATGATGGACATGGTTACTTACGCCAGTGTCGGCCTCAGCGTCAACAATCTCAATTGTGGTGTCTTCTTTAACCATTGGAACAACAAATTCAGATGTTCCATCATCTTTTGTAATAATAGGAAAAAATGTTCCAAAATTCGAGGTATAGGCGCTAAGGTAGATAAATGTGACATTCGGAATATCCAAAGTTCTAATATATTTTTCAACTCGGTTTTTACCTATATATATATATTTAAGTTATTAATATCGTCCCTATAAAAAAATATCTCCTGAAATTATCCAATTTTTTGTTCAGAAAATCGACTCCGTTCCGAACATTTTAAAGGATGTTTATTGGATGTTTATGTTTTTATACATTTTTCATAAATTGTTTATGCATTTTTTATACGATAATTTTTAATCAAAAATTTTCGATTTTTACATCCCGTACAAACATCGATATGAAAACAGTACCCTGTTCGGAAAATCGACTCCGTTCTGAACATTTTTTTGGACAATGCCTACAATAACTAAGCAAACTTTTTTTATAGGGCGTATAGAGACTATATAATAATAAATTGGCATTTCTTACCGCAAAAATGTATGGCTTCGTAACCGGGTGTATCAGGAAGAGAACTTAATAGATAATAAGTAAGATCAGTCCCGTGGAATAAAAAATATTATTTTATAACATACCTATAAAGGAGCCAATTCAATCCGACTTCTTGAGCGACATCAGCAATCATTTTACCTTGTCTTTCTTCTTCAGCCATATTATTTGGGTAAATGGACTAATATAATAATCATGGTGAGTATCAGATAGTAATTATTATATATAGTAATTAATGAAATGAGATTCCATAGTTACCGGATCCCAGAAACTGGTGACAATGAATGCAATATCAGCTCCATTAAGCGCATTCTTAACATCTTCTTTAATGGAAAGGTCGGCTCTGAAAACTTCAACACCCTTTGCAGCAAGAGCTTTAGCTTTATCAGAATCAGGCTTACGTGTAAGAGCACGGACTCTATATTTTCTTGTTGCAAGAAGGGCATTGACGACAGATCCTCCTGTATATATACAATTCAAAAAACGAATATTACAGTATTCGTAAGTTTGTTATTAAAATGTTGTCATGTTTTGGCGAACAAGACTAAATAATACCTTGAGCACCTAAATTATGTAAAAGAAGCCAATATAACATTAATAAATGTTATCAACATGGTGAATTGTCATTTTATCAAAATATATTACCAGTAGCTCCACTAACGACTACCAAAGGTTTTTGAGATGACATCTTGGAATTTTTTTCTTTATAACGAACACAAAGAACCTTAACAGCCAATTAATTAATAGTAAAAATTATTTAAACCCCAGAAGAAACTTTGCTCCCTTTTATATCATGAAATTTGGCATAAATCTAATTGATTTCATTATTCAAAATGATTATACCAAATTCGAACCTTATCTTCAAAAAGATACAACTGATAAATAATCAGAATTTTAAAACAGGTTTATTATGAAATTTATAAAGTCACATGAGTAACGTTCACTGATGTAATTAGTTGTAATAAAATGATCGTAATATTGATATTTTGTAATTACGGGTAATTCGAGCGTAAAGTATAATGGTAATTATGAAGTAGTAATTATGTAATACAAATGTATAAATAAAAGTGTAAGAAAAAGAAAAATACGTTTTGTCGTGAAAATAATATACCTAATAAAGAAATACCTTATTTTGCTTGTCCATATTCATTCCCACAAATAAACTAATAAACAGTTTTCGATCATTATCTAAGTGACCCTGAGTCAGAGTTTCGGTACTATTTTAGCGTTATCGATTAACCCCGTGACAATAATAATCGTTGGTGTTCTCAAGCAGCTTCCTCAATGTGCTTAGTTAGTGATCAGGGTGTTGCTTAAATAATTGCGATCAATTGAGTGGTTAATCCTGTTAAAATTTTATTATACGCAATGCAGACTTTAAACTTTAACCAATCAAAGCAACTCTATGAATAAAAAAGATGTTCTGCACCCAGCTTTTTTTGATCCAAGTGACAACTCCTTTGTCAGTTTATTCAGTTCCGACTAATTAAAATTTTGCCTCCGATCCATTGAGTGAGGCGCTTGAAAATACTCTAAAATTATTATTAATTATCGAAAAGAATTATCTTATATGGTATATTGGGGTTTCAGTATTTTCATAGATAAGTGGAAGTTTAAAAAATTTTATTTATATCAAATTTCGAAATCGGAAAATGAAATGGGTCGTTTGCTAACAAAATTTCTGAAGGGGTTTTAATTTTGATAAAAACGTTATTAAATTTAAAATTTTACGATTTTTTTTTTATTTATGTGATTATTAGGGGTTCAGTATTAAATTATTTCAAAAATAAGGAGAGTTTAAAAGATCCCATTCCTATTTTAAATTCTGACTCAGAAAATTAAATAGGCGCACATGCACACGTCAATAAAATATTATACATAGCAACCGCATAAAAATTCACGGTCTCGTGATGATATACGCTAGCCAAAACAAACCGCAGATCGTCATAACTCTTGACGTTAGGATAAGGGTGAACACTAGAATGATAGTAGAAAAGGCAGAGCATATAGCAAAATTTTGCAAGGAATTTTTTTTGCTAAGACGCAGAAAATAGCTTTGTACTGTAGTTGAAATTTTGAGTTATAGACGATGTTTTATATTTTTATAACAGAATTTTAACTCTAATAAAAAAAATTCTTTTCAATAATTGGTATGGTTTAAAATTTTGCTAGATTGTACTGACATCCACTCGGATCCAGTTGTTTCACCAACTTGTCTTAGAAGCAATTCTGTTAATACCAGCATGTAACACAAATTTAGTTTATTAAATTTTTTGATTTTTAGAACGAATCGACTAGTAAAATTATTGAAAGTTTCTAATATCATAAACAATGATCAAAATTATCAACCTGTTACAATGATCTTTAATTTTAGTCAATCAAAATTCTTGCTGATCAGCAATACAGTCGAATTTGACCTATGCTTAAACGTATGTAAATAAATTTATGGATCACATCACTTATTTTATCTGTAATCGGATACCCCCCGTGATTCTTAATAAAATTGATTACTGATTGATTGCTGATTAACTATTTAAAATTTCGGTATTTTCAACGTGTTGTGTTGCAGTTATGCAGCGATCGCCATAAAAAATTTCCTTGCAATACTGTACCCATAAAAGGGGGATCGCTAAAGCCTTGTACCCACACGACTTTCGAAGTTTTAATTGTAAATTAGGGTTAAGGTGTAATCAAATTTTTCATAGCTTGATTATAGTGGCGTCAATTCTGTAATATCACGAGAAAATTTATGTTCGACCGGGTTGTACTGTACATTTGTCACTTAATCACCTGGTTCACTAACAAATACGGAATCCACTAAATGGGATCTTGCCTCACTGCTCATGTGATCCCAGCCAGTTACTAGCATCACTAATACCGGATTTATATCTAACTCTCTTCTCTGATATCCGAACTGTACAGTCGGACTATCAAAGTGATATTCAGGCTGAACACCTGGGCTATCAATCTCACCTATACCTCATAAATACTCGAACACTAAAATACCCTCACCCAGTGGTGGGTGGGTGGGCGTTAATGACGAAGCTGGACTTCTGTCGAGCTAGCAGCAAAGACAAAAGAGGGAGACCCAAATCCATTTTCACCCCTAGTGATGCGCATGATTTTTTATAATGCTGGCAAAGCAGTATAATGCTGGTAGGTTATCTAATTACTATTGTAACCATTGGGAGAGCTTAAGAAAATATTATAGGATGAAGGACAATTTAACTCCAACGGTGTACGGAAAATAAATAT